TAAATGACAGTTAGAATTCCTTCATCCACTCTAAGCAGCCTGGATGGAGAATCTCCTCCTGTGGCTACTGTATTTTGACAGTTGGCCGTCAACCGATTGTTCTTATACCTGAGCAGCGAGACTGCAGGCGCTGCTCGGCCGACACTTTTTTTCAAATCAAAAAGACATTGGGTGAGAGCCAGCAGACATGGCCACCCACTGAGCGACTTTCATCTGGTTTAACAAGAACTGGCTGAACATTACTCAGTATGTAGCCAGCTTTACTGGCTGGATCACCAAGTGAAATAAAAAGAAGAACAAAGCCGAAAAAATTAAAAACTAATGCCGCTACCACATATTACATTGTTGGATTTAAATATGCTGTGAGGTAATATTAAAGTCAAAGAAGGGCATTTATCAAAACTGGAGCAGACAAAAACTGGAGCAGCTGTGCATGGCAACCAATCAGCTTCTCACTTTCATTTTCAAATCCTAACTGAACAAACTGAAGAGAGAAGCTGATTGGTTGCCATGCACAACTGCTCCAGAGTTTGTCTTCTCCAGTTTAGATAAATTCCCCCCAAAATGTTTTTTTTATTTTAAATGCCGATTAGATCACTTACAATAGATAGAGATGCTGTACTTTAAGGTTTAAAAGTTTTAGTTTCCTGAGCTCTGGTCCTGACTTCCTGTTTTAGGGCTCGTTCACACCAGCAGCCACCCTCAACCACAAGGCTGCTGGTATGCGTGTGCCCATGCGATGCCATTGCACTGTATCGAGCTGCACCACATTGTTTTTTTTTTCTTTCTTAGAACTATATTGAAATGTCACAAATGAGTGACATTTAATTAAAGTTGTATGGGCTCACCGCGTTGAGATGATGTTGTATCACATCTCAAAAGAACATTTTAAAAATCTGCCCGTTTCTTGGACTTTTTTTAATTTTATTTAAGCACACACCACCAGAACGCAGTGGTGTGAACTGTCACCATCCATGACAAGGCAAATTGCTTTGCGTTTGGGCTGTGCTGGAAAAAAAACAAACCCGTCCATCGCAGCCTGAACGCAGATGGTCTGAACAATCCCTTAGGGTGGCTCCTTTCCCTTGCAAGATCCTATGGAGTCACCCTTGTGTGTGTGCTAGTAAGCGGTAAACTACTAGGGATGCACAGATACCGTTTTTTCAGTAGCGGGTACCAGTGCCGTGTGCCCAAGGTATGAGGCATTCGTGCCGCAGATCTCGATCGGCCGCCCAGCTTCCCGATTGCCTGCAAAGCCGGTCCAGCGAAAGAACACCGGATTCACTTGCCGAGGCTGCCTGGCTTCCTGACAGATCAGAAAGCCAGGCAGAGAGTCATGAGGTGCCGCCCAGCTTCCTGATTGGTCAGGAAGCCAGGCTGCCTAGAGCCAGTGAAGCCGGCTTTCTGGCCAATCAGGAAGCTGAGAGGCAGGTCTTAACCCACTGCCCCGCTTTACGATTGGAAAGGAAGCTGGCTCCATGCTCCCTCGGCACTTGCAGTCAAAGGGAGATCTCCTTCTGACCGGAAATTGCAGTATCGAAGCATTTGGGCAAGTACAACTACTCCCCCAAATGCCTGGTATCGTACTAGTATCGGTGTATCGCTAAGTTACTATATATATATTTTAAAAAAAAGTTACATTCGCCTTAGTAAAAGACTGACCTGTCTAAAAAAAAAAAAAAAATTACTATAAAACAAGAACAAAAAAATAAAATAATTCTCAAGATACAGCAAAAGAAAACACGTTGTTATCCAAGCCGTGTATTCTTTCAGCCTCAGGCCCGAGTGAACCTGCACATTTTCTGAAAATAAAAACCTAACCCCATTACAACACTTTAATTGTGACCTATCCAACCTGCACAACCTGTTTTGGATCTGTGCATTCTCTTGCTTTAACAACCAAGGCAAGAATTTGGCTGCACTGGCTTTCTTAAATGCAAAAGCATGTGTCAAGGCCATGCATTCTCTAAATCAATGTCAAGCAGACAAGCGCCGAATCCAATAATTATTGAGAGTATAGCATTCAGCCTGTACAGATGTCACATCTTTAAATTACATCCGAGTGGATCCAGTGACAGACAGGCCTATACACCGGCCACAATGAAGCCAGGTTAACCTTTGCGAGATCTGCGCCGGTTTGAGATCCTTTATTATCATCCACTTCCTCCTTCTCTTCTCTAGTTTGGCGGCAGCAGCACGATTGTTTTATTCTCCTGTACAGCACGTTTGCATGGGCGCGTTATATGCAAATGTGTGATGTGCCTGAAGAAAAAAACTGTATTCCCCCTCAAATTGCCTGTAATCAAAGACAGGACTGTTACCGACGCCACAACGATTTCATAATCACTACGGTTTGAACGGACGCCTAACTGGAGAGGCGGCTCTGGATTTTTATACCAGTGCCTTGACTTCTGCCAGACAGCTATCTGATGGCACGCAGGAGAGAAGGGCATATGGCAGGGTGGTAGATGGAGGGAACACAACAGGATTACCAATATACACCCAAAACCAGCTACGTATTCTTTCCATAGTCTATGGCGGGGGGAGGCAACCTCAGCACTCCAACTGTTGTGGAACTACAAGTGCAATGAGGTACTGCAACACTAAGTCACAGGCATGAACCCTAGAGGCAGAATAGGATTTGTAGTTTCACCACTGCTGGAACCCCTGTTTTAAAGGCAAGATTCAAAATGCCCTGTACTCCTTCCATTCCTAACAGATGTATACAGGAAAGCCAATAGGATGCACAGGAAGTACTCAAACATCACAGAAAAATGGGATCTCTTCCAGCAATCTCCCATTCAGGCAGCCCGTGAAATTAATATATGAACCAATCATACAAATAAAAAATAAAGTGCTCGCTGTTTGGAAATAAAAGCGATTGATATCACAGCTCTTAAAGCCTACCTCCGGGCAAACAAAAACCCTCCCCTTGTAGTGGGGCTACCCCTGTACTCCAAGGGTTAACTGCTCATTTATGCATAAAGGACGGGAGTAAAGCACTTTTTACCTGACCCCCTCCGTCCCGCAGCTTCATAGCCTCATTACATCTAATCCAGAGGTGGGCACCTCCAGCTCTCTCGCTGTTGAACTAAAATTCCCATGAGGCATTGCAAGACTAACAGCCACAGACATGGCTCCCAGAGACATCCCACCTCAACACTTCATCATCACGTTGTCAAACTATATCAATCCTGTATAATAATAATAATAAAATGATAATGGGATTTGGAGTAAAAGCACAGCGTGAGGGCCAGAGTTGCCCACCCCTGGTCTAATCCATAGCCTTGCATTATACACGTGGACAATCCACAACATAGAGATGAGGTGAGCAGGGATCAGGTAAGTAAAACTGCTTTACTCCGATCCCCTAGACATAAACAAGCAGTTATCCCTTACAGTGCTGGGGGAGCCCCTCTATAAAAGGGGGGTTATTTGCCTGGAGATGACACACCAAAAGGACTTTATCACACTGCAACAAGACGTGTGACCACCCAAAGCAACCAGTGATCAGCTGTCAAAATTCAGAGTAGTCGGATTTATGAATGAGGCTTTGTGATTGGCTGAATGATTTAAAGTAAAGCTCAGTCTGCAGTAGACCTCAGATCAGCATGTGTAACCCGAAACATGTTACAGCTTCCTCCCCAATACAAGAACGTCTACATGAACATTCGGTTTCAGCCACACGTTTCGATTCCAGTAACAGCATTCACACACATCACTGGCACTTTTACTGCTTTCATCGGCAGTGAAATTGTCTTCTTGCAGGAACTGGCAGCAGCAAGAGGTACCCAAGTGACATGTATCTAATGTCTACACGTAAAGAAAGAAGGGGGGAGGGGCAAGGACAAAAGTCATTCAATACTGAACACACACAAAATGACAAACTAGCTGCAGGCGAGTGCACATTGTGTACGGGTCTACTGCAAAGAATAGTCTCAGATGTACTCATCTGTGTGCTCAGGACAAGACGTCTGCATAGAACGCCTTGTGATGTCTTACACAACACAAACTCTGAAGTGTGGATTCAATGGTGTCCATAGAGGAAGTGGATTCATAAGACGAGGAGACACATAGGATCCAGTGATGTGACAACACAGAGGAGAGAACACGATGCAGGAGATGAAGAATTAAAAGTGACATCCTAAGTACCAGGCACTGCAGAAAAGAAATGGCACCACAACTTCTCAACTAGAGTTCCACAAGCACAGAGTAGTGGCAAATGGATCCCCCACCTACACTAGCCACCAATGCAAGGGGTCGCTTCTATGTGTGAAGGGCCACCAAGCTAAAGAGGTCCCTTCCACGCCGGCCACCAAGCTAAAGAGGTCCCTTCCACGCCGGCCACCAAGCTAAAGAGGTCACTTCCAAGCCGGCCACCAAGCTAAAGAGGTCACTTCCAAGCCGGCCACCAAGCTAAAGAGGTCACTTCCAAGCCGGCCACCAAGCTAAAGAGGTCACTTCCAAGCCGGCCACCAAGCTAAAGAGGTCACTTCCAAGCTGGCCACCAAGCTAAAGAGGTCACTTCCAAGCTGGCCACCAAGCTAAAGAGGTCACTTCCAAGCTGGCCACCAACCTAAAGAGGTCACTTCCAAGCTGGCCATCAACCCAAGGGGTCACTTCCACTCTCTGGTCACCATCAGATGACACTACTATTCTGTCTGTGTACAATTTTTGTAGTAGAATGGGATAAGAGACGACACATGCCCTGGCTGTCAATTACACATTTCTTATTCTTTTATTAAAAAAACTTTCTACAAGTCACCACTCATGCTGCAGGTACAATGGCCATGAAGCTGGCTTGAAGGGTTCCTCCATAGTATGAAGGCTGATCTAGAAGTGGCACAGGAGCAATGCAGCTAGAAGTGGGTAGGAGTGAGAAGCACCCCCCAGTGTCACCTTCCCAGAGCATGGCAGGAAGTGACTTGTGTCACCACTCACCACTAGTTGTCATGCCTGTCACCTCACTCACACGGCAGCCATCCATTGTGTGCACTCACCAGGGGTCGAACTCGTGAATGATGCTCTCGAAGCGGATGACTGCAAAGAGCCTGGAGCTGAAGCCGGCCAGCCAGGCCAGGAATAGGATGGTAAAGGAGAGCAGGGACTGCCAGCCGGCGGGCTGCGACAGGCCCCCCGATAGCCCTCCCACGGGGGAGTGGGCAACCAAGCTGCTGTTAGCCGAGGATCCCGAGCGCCCGGAGCCCAGGGCGGGGGAGGAGGCCCCGGAGTTGACGG